CTCTTTCATACAGTCTATAATCATAACTCACATTTCTATAGAGTTTTATGGCAAATGACTACTCTAAAACCTGGGCAAGCAGGCCCCTATCCTGGACCTCAGAACCTCCATGCTCTGGAAGACAGTAGCAGTAGCTACCATACAACTTGACTAACTTTCTATTTTAGTATCGGCTGTGCCCTTGACCTTAGCCTGGAACCTGGTTCCCTGCCCCTGCCCCTCCTCTACCTGTTTATCTGATGGTTGAGAGGGGAGGATCTTAGATACCCTGACTACCCTGGGGCTTTTGGCTTAGAACTTAGGGGATGGCCTCAGTAGCTGCCACCAGTCTGAACTAACTTTCACCACTTTTTCCTGTGCCCCACCCAAAGGGAGGTGCCCTCCACCTGTACCCAACCCACCCTGTTCCCATGAGATTTGTGTGTGGGCCCCCTTCACTCTGCCTGAACCTCTTCTAGACTTGCTCACCTGATGAAACCAACCGTGGAATCTTAATACTACAGTTGCCCACCCATTGGGGCAGACTGAAGACCCAGCAGCAGCCACCACCCTGCTGAGACTGATCTGTGTCCCCTCAGAAAAGTTTAAAGCCCTGCTCACCCTGCCTGCTAGACATTTTGAAGAAACTTCATGGGCACTGATTGGACAATAAACAGATAGATAGATATCTCTACATCTGTATCTCTATCTATCTCTACTTGTATATTTATCTATCTATCTATCTATCTATCTATCTATCTATCTATCTATCTATCTATATCTTCTTTACCCATTATTCTATCACATGGGCCTATGGATTTTGTAATACATATTTAAATTAAATTGTTTTTATAGAGAGGGGTCCCTGAAAAAAAATTGCCCACCCTCTGATACTGGGGGCTGCCCTGATTTATTTTTTTTTTACAACTGTATGAAGTAGTTGATAATAATATTATTTTTCCCATTTTACAGAAACCCATCAGGGTCTCATAGAGGCAAATGTGGAAACATTCTCTGGCCAATCTAACACAGATGCCCAAACTGAATGGCCAACTGAGAAGACAGCAAGAAAGTTGGAAACAGAGGGTCCAAAAACATTGCCTGGTTTGGCTATATAGAACCAAACTTTGGTTCTGTTCTGCTTTCCTCAACTCTCTTTCTTCATGGCCGTTCCCTTCCCTCCCTACTGTCTATAAAGTGATCAGGTCCAGTGCTTGGGTAGAGTTGGAGTCTAAGTTAAACACAACTCGCCCTGTCTGTCCCAGCAAAGGGGAGTCAAATGACTTTGAGGGTTGTACCACACCCATACCAGAGTCTCCGCTTTAATTATAGGCAGGGCAGAGAAAACAAAGCTGGCTTGTTGGAGGTCACTGAGAGGTTGCAGTCAGACTTGGAAATTAATGTGGCCTCTGCACACCTTCAGGTAACTTCATATGTCATTTGGGGGCTGTTAAGGAGTTCCCTGTCCCTCATATCCTGTTGTAGTAGGGTTGCCAAAGACAACTCTCCATAGCAGGAGGAACCAGTAGCAAATAGAGATGTACAGTGGCAACGTGTTTGTCCATCACCATCTTTGGGAGAAGAGGTGGCCCACAGAAGCAAATTTTCCAGATAACTGAAACAGACTCATTTCAACATCAGAACTTTTAAAACAAATCCAGACCCTCTTAATGCAAAATGGAAAGTGTGCTGGCTATTATATAAGCGAGGAGTGTTGTGGGCCAGATTCTAAACCATGCATCTCTCTCAAGTATGCCTGCCTCTTGACTTAAAAAAGAACTCTGGCCAAAGAACAGAGAGGAACGGGAATCCGCTCCTGTCTGCATTTTCATATTTATGTGAATGTCCAATTAGTTACATAAACAGCTGCCCACAGGCCTTACAGGCACAAGTTTTCCACTGCGAGCTTGGAGAGGAACAAGCCAGATTCCAAGGACGTGGTGATTTTTCTTTTGAATTGTTTGGGCAGCAAATTCTCATTGTCTGTCTTCATTGGGTAATGAATATGAATGATCATGACAAGAAATTTTTACTCAATTCTTAGAAGGAAGTTGCCTTTAACAGCAGCCTGGGGGGTCCAACCTTGGGTTCTCTGGTTATTTTTTCAGCCTTCTGTGTGATTGATCTTTCTGTGGATTAGGCTCTTTTGCAATCTAAAGCTGGAAGGGACCTTCTCATGGTCAAAGGCAGCCCAGAAGTTATCTAGCCTATATCCTTCATATAACAGATGAGAACACTGGGGCCCAAGGTCATAAGTGGAAGAACTGACTTGCAAACCCAGGCCTTCTGACGTCCCATCATTCACGATCATTCCCCTCTTTTCAACTCTCAAAGTTCGGCTCATTCCTTTGTAATTTTCTTCTTAACTTACCCTGTTCTTCCCCCCATTTCCAGTGGTAAGGATAGGGTAGAAGGGGTGGTAGTGGCAGGGGCTGGATAAGGTAGAAGAAATACACCTCTAAAAATAGAAAAAGTGTAGTGGTGCAGGGGAATGAGCATGGGATTTAGAGTCGGATGACCTTTGCCCAAATCCTGGTGGTTCTGATTATTGCTTGTGTGACTGGGTAATTAACATAACTTTTCTGGGCCACAGTATCATCATCTATAAAGTGAGGATATTGGACTAGATGACCTTTGATATCCCTTTTAGCTCTAAATCCATGATCCTACCAACTTGAAAAAATTGGAGTTAAATGACAGGGTATTTGTTTTTAAATGAGAATATTTGTAAAGTGCTTAGCAGAGTTCCTGGCATATAGTAGGCAAATATAAATGCTTATTCCCTTCTCTCTTCTCCTTCTGGCTAAGGTAAAACAAAACTAAAAACAAAACCAGAATATCTATTTTATGTATTTTACAAAAAAAAACTATCAGAAAAAAACAAAAGTCTATTTGAATAGATGTTAATTTTATTGTTTTAGCCTTTATTAGTATTCTTCTGTTCATGTTAGTGTCAAAGTATCCATTTTAGAAAGTAAACTTTATGAAGACCCAGAGCAAATAAAGTGTCCCTTTGATTAACTTCTTTTACTGAGCATATAATATAGTGCTCCAGACATAAACTGCATAATAAATGGATAAGGAGGAGAGCGATGAGTATAAGATTTCACATCAACTTCCCAGACAGGGAGAAAAGAATGGAAAAGTAGACTTACACTCAACTGAAAGTCAGACACTTTTTATTTCTGGTCTAGCTCTTCCACTGACTAACTGTGGGGTGGGGCTTCCTATCTCTTTAGGAAGACTCTAATAGACTTCCAATAATAATAGACTTTTTCTTTCTTTCCTACTTATAATTTCACTGGTTTAAGGAACTCCCAGTAAATTTCCTCAACCAATTAAATTGCAACTACTCTGCAACTTTTTGGCTTAGAGAGTTGCCTGAATAACTGAAAAGTTAGGTCATTCTTCTGTATTTGCGTCTCTAATCTTACCACAGAGCCTGGCATATAATATGTGCTTATCATTCATTCATTTGGTGACTTGTACAGGGTCACACAGCCTATGTCAGAGGCAAGATTTTAACTAAAATCTTCCTGAGTCTCAAACTAACACTCTATCCTCTATGATTCTTTTTTCATGATAGCATTAATGATAGCAATAATAACTGACATTTATGTAGTGCTATAAAGTTTTCAAAGGAACTTACAGTATCTTATCTGAGCCCCACAACAATTCTTTGAGGTATTATCATCCTCATTTTAGAGGTGAGAAAAACAAGCTGAGAGAGAGGTCAAGTGACTTGCCAATATCCTCACACTGGAAAGAATTTTTGATTTCCCAGTTTCTTTAATTTTCTTCAAAGCTCGGGTCAAACGCTGCCTCCATGAAGCCTTTTGTGATTCTCCTAGTTGCTAGTACCTTGCTCTGAAATAATCTTGTATATATTTTGTATGTATTTATATGCATTCATATTGGTAGAATGATAAGCCTGATAGAATGCGAAGCTCCTTGAGGGCAAGGATTTTTTCATTTTTGTCTTTGTATCCCTAGCACCCAACATGACAATATGGCTCATAATAAATGCTTGCTGATTAATTGCTTTGGAATAGAGAGGAGCTGAGTTCACTCCCTACCTCTGCTACTTACCACATGTATGGTCTTGGGGAAGTCATTTCATCTCTTTGGGCCTCCATTTCCTCCATCATAATATGACATATATTGGACCAGGTGGCATCTAAAGTCCCTTTCAACTTTAAGCCAATGATTCAAAGTTTCAGAGGTTTCTGAATGCAGGTCTTCTTGAGCCTGAATCCAGCACTTTCTCTACTAGGGCATACTATGTAGAGGCCAACAAATTTACTTACCATTCATCTTCTAAGCATCTCTCCATAACTACAGGGTGCTAATTAAAAACACTCCTGGCCGAGATGCCAATGTCTGGTTACCTACTTAAGGAATCTGCTGTTGTGATGACCTCATTAAAATAAATCTATAAATTCATTACTTTCCACCAGCCACAATAATTATGTACAATATTAATCGTGAAATGCCAACGCTCAACACTTTCAATGAGATGGGTGCTTATGAATTAAACATGGTTGAGCTTGTTTTTTTTTTTTTTAAACACCTGGCAAGTCATAGAGTCAGTAAGAAATTAACACCACTGTAGGCAGCACTCAAATTAAGAGGCCATAAACCCAGACTGAATGCTCAACATTTCAGCATTTATACATAGAACTTAGTCTTGGCAGATCAGTATTTAATTTTAACTGAAAAAGACCAGAACTCTCTTCACATTATCTGGAAAATGGCTGCCTCTCTTCATGGGATTGGCCCAGATATTGTCAACCATCTTGAGCAGCCAGTTTGCTGGACTAAGGTTTGGCCAAGCTCCTAGTAAGAGCCTTGTTCTAATGGAGAGGTCTGGCAGATGGAGGGCTCTGTTGGTTCCATTTGCCTCAGGATTCATCGAAGGCAGATGGCACATGTGGGGCAGACAGAATGATCGTTCTTAGCCTCCAGTGTGGTGGATGCAAGGGGACAATCATTTCTCCATCACTTTGCCTCACTCACTTCACACATGTGCCCCTCCCATAGATTCTTATTGTTGAGACGGAGCATCCCTGTGGGACTGATTGCTTTTGTACTGACAAGGGCACACTGCTCCTCTGCATGATTTGTGCACAGATACTCTGAGGAGCTGCTTTGGCACCCCTAGGGGTTGGCATCAGAACTGAAAGGATGGATCTTAACTTGCAGATCCAGCACATATGCAAATGGTTAGCCTTGTTCAGACTGCATGTTGCTCAAGCATGAAAGAATTAGGAGCTAATTCTTTCAGCTCCCACCATCAATCTGGTTTTTGTCAGCAACCAGGCTGCTAAGCTTCACTGGGGCTTCACGGGGCACCTGCAGAGAAGGTGGCATCTGAATTTGTTTCCTTTGGTAACAATATCAGTAAATGATATGAAGAGTCAGCTAGGTGATGCAGTGGATAAAGTGCTGGGCCTGGAATCAGGAAAACCCATGTTCAGATCTGTCCTCAGACACTCACTAATCATGTGAGCAAGGGCAAATCACTTCACTGCTATCTGCTTCAGTTTCCTCATCTGTAAAATTGGAATAACAATAGCACCTACCTTCCAGCGTCCTTAGTGAGAATAAAACAATCTTCGTAAAGCACTGTAGAAATGTGAGCTATTACTATTATTATATAAATGTTTCTTCTTCTTTCTTCTCTTCTTCCTCCTCCTTGACCTCCTCCTACTGCTGCTATTGCTACCACTGACACTTTTGTTGTTGTTCAGTCATGCCTGACTCTTCATGACCCCATGGACCAAAGTGTGCCAGGCTCTTCTACCCTCCACATGTCCAAGTTCATGTTCATTGTTTCCATGACACTATCTATCTCTCTCATCCTCTGCTGTCCACTTTTCCTTTTGCCTTCAATCTTCCCAATATCAGGGTCTTTTCCAATAAATCCCATCTTCTCATTATGTGGCCAAGGTATTTAAGCTCCATCTTCAATATTTAACCTTTCAGTGAATAACCTGAATTAGTTTCTTTAAGTATTAACTGATTTGACCTCCTTGTTGTCTAAGGGACTCTCCAAAGTCTTCTCCAAAACTACTACTTAACTTCATATTTATGTAGCACTTTATGACTTCCAAAGGACCATGAGTGTAAGTAGGACAGCAATTATTGTTCCCATTTTGCAGAAGAGGTAACTGAAGTTCAGAGAGAACAAGTGACAGCTCTAGGGTTACATAGCAAGGGAGTGAATGCATCTAAAATAAGAGTCCGATTCTTCTGTTCCAACTTCAGTATTGTTATTTTTTTCTATAGCACCAGACCAAATAACTGAGCATCGGTCTATTCTTCTATAATTCATAGGATCATAGAGGTGGAATGGACAGTAGAGGTCATAGAATAATGGAATCAAATATGTAAAGATGGTAGACATGTTAGAGGTCTAGTTCAACCTCATCATTTTGCAGATGACAAAACTGAGGCAAGTCAGTTGCCAGAGTCAAATGGCAAGTAAATGACTCAGGATTTGAACCAAGGTCTTCATGATGCCAAGTCTATTGATCCATCCCCTACACTCTGCTACCCCTCTGTGTTCATCTAATGCAACCCCTTCTTTATACAGATGAGGTAACTGAGGCCCACAAAGGGGAAGTGACTTGTCAAAAATCACACAGGTATTAAGTAGAAGAGCAAAAATTAGAACCAAGATCCCCTGAGGATTTGGTGACAGAAGACTGGGATTCGAGATGTACATTTTGTGGGGCAAGGAGAATGATGCAAATCAGCTCATTCAAGCTCACTCTTTTATTTTTGCTGGAGAGATTATGCTACATCAGGGATTCTTACCCTTTTCTATGTCATGGACCCTTTTGGCAGTCTAGTGAAGTTTATGGACCCCTTCTCAGGATGATGCTTTTAAATGCATAAAACAAACTATATATGATTACCAAGGAAATCAATGATATTGAAATATAAATATCAAAATGCAAAAACAAAAATTCACAGACCCCAGGCTAAGAATACCTATTCTATACACTTATACTCTGTAATATTTATTTTGTCACAGATGTGTTTATGCAACCTGAGGTATTGGTAGCAGTTTCTTCCCGAGCTGGCTGGACACTCAAAACATTCCACTATGAGCAGAAGACCCCCCCAGCAGCAATCATACTGTTTGCTTCCACTTGGCATTATATAAGCATACCACCATTTGAATGAATGGGAAGAATGGTGCTATTCTGAATGAGATACCAGTGAGGCTTTATTGCATGAGTATTCATAATTTCAACCAAAAATAAAAGTTAAAGCATGGTCCATTGTTAACATTGATCCTAGAGGAGACCAACCTGAGAGCACAAGAACTTTTGCAGACCACCAAGCACACTTCTGATTGAGAAGGCTTGAGAGGACCGCTCAGTAGAGGTCCAGTGAAGCTCTCACTCTATAATGGGGCTTTAAATAAATAACTGGGATAGAAGAAGGGAGGAAAAGGAAGGGATCTCCTGGTATCAGATAAGATAACTTTAAATGGCATTAACCACGGCTCCAAAAAGTCCAGTGAAGGGGCAGCTAGGTGGCGCAGTGGATAGAACTCTGGACTTGGAGTCACAAGGACCTGAGTTCAAATCTGGCCTCAGACACTTGACACTTACTAGTTGTGTGACCCTGGGCAAGTCACTTGATTCCAATTGCCTCACCAAAAAACATAAACAAAAAATCACAAAAAGTCCAGTGAGAATGATAACACATTAGCCTCTGAGAAAGGAAGGAAACTGTCAAAAGATAGGAAGAATTTTCCAAAAAAATTATAAGCTGTCAATGACCACAAGAAAATATGCTCTAAATCACGAATAAGAGAAATTAAAATTAAACTAACTCTCAAGTTTCACATCTCACATCCTGGAATCAGCTCTGCTTGGTTGCTCACCCATTGGGGAATGCCTGGAAAGTAAACATCCACCCCACACCTGGAGGCACGTATAGATGCCTTGGCTGCTTACCCATTGGGGCATGGTTGGAAGGCAGACATCCACCCGACACCTGGGGGCACGTACAAATTGCTTGGCTTCCACAGGAGTCCACTGGAGGTAGATTCTTGCCCAGGTACAGAGGCGAAGTCAGTGTACTGGGTAGTTAACTGAGTCTAGGTGTACAGGTATCATTACTGTTGTGGTACAGTAACATTAATGATGGCTAGCTGAGGTTGGACAGTTGCGGGATTTTAGGTGGAGAGAATGTTTTGTCAGGGTTGCTTCTCTCTAGGGTTCACCAAAATCCACCCTGTTGGACATGCAGTCTGCTTGTAGGTCCTGGTGGCTGGAGAGTGTCTACATTTTAAGATCAAACCAAATGATGTGTGTGCAGATCATTCTCATAAGGATTTTACAGGAGAAACCCGGCACATGTGTTGATAGCAATGTCCTCATGATCACCATTTTTTTTTTCCAGGGAGAAGAGGTACAACAGCATCGTCTGTAGTCTTTTCCAATCCTTTGATGTCTTTCTCTCTCTGAGACATCTTGTAAAGTGATCCCTTGATGTGTTCAAGATTGTGTTGCCTCCAGCAAAGATTTCCTCAGTGTTTATTTGGCCTGTTCTTTCTAACTACATCTTCTTCAGTGCTGTCATTGGGAGCACATTGGTGTTTAAAAGATGAGATTCTTTGTCACAGAGCGGCTTGGAGTCTTTGAAAATGCTGCTGCATCCCAAATGTAATCCATCCAACCCACTCTCTTCCTTCTAGTCAATTCTGGGTCCAAGTCATTGTTTGTTTTCAGTGCTTGTCTAAGAAACAAATGTGCACTCTCCCCCCAGAAATTATCTTGTACTTATCTGCTTAACCTGCTGTATCCACTAGAAGAATGTAAATTCCTTGAGGGCAGGAACTATTATCTACATGTTTGGTTTTGAATCCTTGGATCCTAGCATAATTTTTTTCACAAATAGGTGCTTCATAATGCTTGCTGCATTGAACCTCTAGCAGAGGTTTTTTTTGAGAGCAGGGATTGTTTCATTCATTTTCTTTGTTTTCATACCCTCTAGCAGAGTGCACCTGACACAGAGTAGGTGCTTAATAGATGCTTGCTTAAACATGGCCTCAAAGGAGAGACATGAGGAGATATCTTCCCTGTCTCCTTTTGCAGAAGAGGGAGGTCCATGGGTATGGAAAATTGCATATATTTTCAGATTTTTTAATGTATCGATAATGCATTGGATTTGACCACAAAAGTTTGTTCGACCAGAGATAAGTTGTGCAAATACCTTCGGTGCCTAAAGCATGTAGATGGCCATTAGAATGCTGAATAATGAACCACTGAGAGTACACTGCAAGTGACAGGAATCCTTTCAGGTCCTCTAGGTCTAGAAATTCTCCCATTATCATGTTACAACAGTGAATTGCATTTGTAAGGATCCATTCTGGGTCTCAACAGATTAGTCCGGATACCTGAGTAATTCTTGTTGAATTGATACCTTCCTCATTTTGCTTGGCCAGGGCCACAGCTGAATTCAGTGTGGTACTCAGGGTCCTGAGTAGTTTATGAGGAGAACTAAGAGAATATTCTCACAAAAACTTTGGGAGAGTAGAATGGCAAGGAGGAAGGCAGGGTCCACATTGTCATGCTATAGTTATATCCAGAAAAATAAGACCTGGAAAAAGGTCATTAGATTTAAGAGATATTTGGAAACCTTAGAGGGTACTCTTTCAGATGAGAGAAGAGTTTAAAAGCCAAATTACAAAGGCTTAAAAGTAAGTGAGAGGGGAAAAAGTGGAAGCGATGAATGCAGATTACATTTTCTAGGAATTTGACTGTGAAATGGAAGAGAGACGCTGGGTGAATTAGTAGCTTGAAGGGTTGGTAAAGTCAAGTGAAAGAAAAACTTAAAAATAAAGTCAAGTGAAGGTATTTTTATTTTTTAAAGGATATTGTAAACCCAGACATGTTTACAGATAGCCGTGAAAGAGGCAGCAAATCAGTCAACAAGTATTTATTAAGCCCTTACTATGTGCTATCTAGCCACTATGCTAAGTAACTAGCTAAAAATGAAAGCAAATATAAAATTGTTGTTGTTCAGTCGTGTCCAACTCTTCGTCACCCCATTTGGGGTTTTCTTGGTAAAGATACAGGACTGGTTTGCATTTCCTTCTCTATCTCATTTTACAGATGAGGATACTGAGACAAACAGGTTGATGTGACTTGCCTAGAGTCACACAGGCAGCAAGTGTCTGAGGCTGGATTTGAACTCAAAGAGAGGA